TGCCTCAGCCTCGAAAAAGCGAGGCCTGCTCTCGAGATGCGCATCGGAATCTCGTCTCCAACAGCTCCGCCAGCAGTGATGCAACTTCCCAAGTAGACAAAGCTCTCCACAACCTCTAGTGTCTCACCACCAAGAGTGAGTGCAGGTAGAGGCACCTGCCAGTCTTGGAAGAGAGCCTTGCGTTTGGATGGCGAAAAGTACATACCGTACTTTGATGCTTCAATCGTTAAGCGGTTTAGTGCAATTTGGACGACGTGTGGATTGTCACCCAGCAAGACAATATCATCAGCATAATCCAAAGCAACAACTCGACTACCTGGGAGGAGCTCAACGCCCGTGGCTGTAGCTGGTTATATCCGTCGTACTCGGATATTGGGTCGCTCACTCGCTTGACGCGCGTGCTCCTGGTCATTTGAAACAATCCTCTCTACCTTCTCGCAGCGTAGTCACGGTACGCTCAATCGAGCCGGATTTACCAGCCCTACACAATGATCGATCATATGTGGAATTACTTGAGCATTAAAGCCCTAACCATAACGAACGGATTTAACTATTATCTGTGATTAAACACAAGCGGGTAACTCGTTAACTTTATATCCTTTTCCGTTCTGTGTAACAGCATTCGGTAAAAAATTCTGGAGGCAGTGCGAAAAGCCTATCCTTATTCCAATCCGGTGTTTCTTAACACAGCTGTGAAGGAATTTGTTATCTCCAAAGCTGTGTTCAGCGTTGTGTTTAGATTCATTTACTAGACCCCAATTCAGCTGAATCGACCGCAAGTGACAGAGCGCGTCACAACACGCTGACTCACGCCGATTGTCGACGCAGAAAACTGCGCCGATTGTTCATCCGGTAAACGCTTGAACTTAACACTGCACGCTCTCTGCGAACATGTCTCACGTTAAGAGCAAGTGTGAATTATGCGGTAAACTAGTGAGGACTGGACGAGTGTGCACCAATTGCTTAAAATCCTATCATATTAAGTGGCCTGTGATGGAGCCGATAAGAACGAGACGGCACAAAAGCACGACAGATTCGTTTTGTTTCTGCCAAGTATGTAATGCTGTCCCTGCTGTTAGCTGTTTAACTGTACTACTGAAGAAGTGTGTATGACTAACGGAAGCAGTCTATTAACTGGTGAGCTCCAGGGTCACACCTATGGGAGGAAACGGACCTGTACCTGTATGTGAAAGCAATATCCCAAATTCCCCATCCAGACCGAAGAATATAGCCAGTTGTGATAAAGTGATAAATTGAAAAGCGTTTTGGTGGAGTCACCATAGACAAATGTAGAAGAGCGGAGGTGTTCGTGTATTAAATAAATAACTAAATAAAGGTTTTGTTCCCGGCAATGCTGGGCACGCCTGCGTGGGCATGATCATGATAATATAAACAGATATGGTCTGTAATTGTATAAAAATATAACACGTTAACCAATAACACTAGGTTGTGTATCTGTGCATATGTAAGTGTATGTGTTAGTGGGCATAGTGAGCAAACTTGTGAAGTCTGACTGAATCCATACGTTTGTTACCTGTGTTCCCATTCATATGAAGGGATCAATGTAACTCTACGAACTGGATGACGTTTCTGAAGTGAGGATACTCCGGAAGGGGAAGAGGTAGTCACTTTATTTAGTGCCGAGTCACATCCGCCATGTCGCATTGTTATTAAACGGACTTTTGTGGCTTTGTATAGGAAGACCGCTCGGCGGGTGAACACCCACAACGTCCTGGGACGGGATTAACCCGAACCAACCAGCTGGCACCACGACGAGGTTATTCAGCTAGCCAGTCACATTTCGGTAATCAAATGTCGTGGAGGTCACGACATTTTGTACATCATTTTCATTGCCATGCAGGAATAATTACAATCCATAAATCCATTGGCTGAGCGGTTGGTAACACACAATCTGCTTGCGTTTTTTAGCTTTCCAGCTAACAAATTATAAACTAAATTGCAAATAAGACTACGCTTCCTCAAGTCGTTTTTAACTGTTGCTATATTGGGGGCAGCAACGACATAATTTGAGAGAGCGACCCAAGGCGGACATACACGTAGGGAAAAGACATTTCTACGGCATTCAAGTCGGCTATACTGTATTGTCAGTTCCAGAGGATGATATCTTAGGTTAGGGTTGTGGTTCAGTTCCAGCAGTGGGCGGCAAATGTGCTTTGGGTTCTTCTGAATCTGATAAACCATTATGAAATCCCCGCAAACGTCGATGTCAACTGTTGTACATTCTCAGAGACTTCAGTCTAAGTTAATAGGAGTCACGCGAGCAACGAGATACTGTTTCTGCCACGGCCGCCACGCCTGGATAGCATTTTCCACTTGCGGACGCACGTAGGCGTTAAGCATTTGGGGGAGGATTGAGGAGTCAAAACGACCGATCGCTCTGCGATGAACGCTATAATGTTGGTTACCGCTTCTTGATGACTTCTCATTTGCTTTGAGCATGCAACCTCTTCCTGTACCAGTACACCCAGGTCATGCTCTTGAGAGACCTTCCGCAAGCTGTAGTCACCAAGCTTGTACACGCTTACTTGCTAGTGACGCAGATGAATCATCTTACACTCAGCTGTGATCAGCTGGAGTAGGTTCTTCAATGACTATTCATAAGTGCAGTCTAAGTCATGTTAGAGTAGATTGTGATCTTCATGGTTATTAATCGCTCGCCGTATCTTGACAGCATCGGCGGAAAGCAGGAAATTAGAGCAAATAACTTTTGTCAGGTCGTTTATAAACACAAGGTACAGACTCGGTCCCAGTACCGAGCCCAACACATCCGGGTTGGACAGTTATCACCTAACATGCACTTGAAGCCTCTGCTAGTAACGAGTTGCCGATCTAACCAAGAACAGGATCTCCGATTCCGGTACTCCCTAGTCTGTGAAGTACGATATGGGGTTCTAGACGATCGAAAACTCTGGAAAAGTGCAGATAGATGACATCAAATCCGACCCCATCATTAGCCACCAGCCCAACTACCTCGTGCTATTATTTGGTTGGTGGTGCTTGACCGGTGTTGACGGAATTCATGCTGCTCTGGCGCCAAGATGTTGCATTGTTAAGGTAGTCCATTAGAGCGTCAGCGGCGACCGCTTCCATCACCTTCGCCGGCTGTGATGATTGTACATACTATGCTGATTTTACTGTCTGTGCTTTGAGAAAAATATTTAGCAGGGAAGGAGTCCCATTAGCTCTGGTAAGTGATAATGGCTTACACTTTTCAGCTCCAAATGTTACCAATCGTCTGCAGAGTCTTGGGTGTCGTCACATTTTTACTGCTCCACGACATCCACGCTCTAATGGCCTAGCTGCAAACTTTGTCGCAACTACAAAACGTTCTGTTACCTTCTGTTTTCCTACTTCTTTTGATGAATTTGATCGCTGTGTTAATAACTTTCTTCTTCAAGACCGTAACTGTGTGCATTCCACCACTAGAGATACACACGCTAAACTGTGTAAATCCAGACAATTGAGGTCGAACATGCTTGGTTTGGGAACCGCTGAAGTATCTTATTTTAGAGGCAATAATTTCTGTCCTTCATCCGGAATCACGTTAACAAACTTGGAAGTAGTATGGTTACAATTCTCAATCTCGATGACTGCTCTGTACATAAACGGCATATTGATCAGGTAGAATACAAGGATTCCGATCAGTTGTCTTTTGATTCTGTGAGCACTGAAAATACTAATGACAATTCAGATTCATATTCTCATGAGAGATCTGAGCAGAAGCAGCGTCTAAGAAGATCCACCAGTTTTCAACAGAAATCCCAACAGAATTACAGAAATCTGGAGTTGCATTCAAGCTGTAGACGAGAACAGGGAGGAGAGTCACTGGGCGATAGTTTGTATGATCTTCCGAATACAGCGTTTAAAAATAAAGGTTATAATGCCGAGCTTCCACATCAGGGGAACTTGCTGTTCATCAAAGCATCTTTGGAAGAACTGTATCAACGGTTCATCTAGCATGGTGGCCATAGCCTTCAGTGCTTTCAGGCGCATGTTGTCTGCGATTATACACTATTCCTTATGGTTATTTTTGAGTTCATTTTGTTCACCCCTAACCGAACATCCGGCGGGACATGTCAACTTTTGGCTATTTTCCTCCGCAATATACTCTTGACCATTGACAATTCACTACATCTAATTTAGTCTCACGTTAGCCGCTTCTTATTGGCCTGCGCACTGAATGGTCTCTTTACTTCGGTTATTTCTCGACAGCCGTGCATTATTAACTAGTCTTAATACCATGTGGTTAGCGTATCATTTTGATGCAGTGAACGTTGTTTCCGCTGTGTTTCGTTACAGGAATGGGTGAAGACTATTGGTTGAGCCAACGAGACAACTTCCACCATTGGCATAACTGTGAAGCTCACGCTTCAACCCGGAAACACCTTATCAACTCATTGATTCAAAGAGGATTGAGCTCATGCTAAGGAACCCGAGACTCTATTGATCCAAAAAGGGGCATCGGCCTTGGATAGAAGCTGGCCCCATCGGAGCTCCGCAGCTCAAGGATAATAAGGTTTTAAAACGTATGTATAAAGCTAACTCTATCCTAGTGTTTAACTGAATTCAGGATCATCGCGCAATATCAACCGAAGCGCCATGCCATTGGGCGGAACTGCATTGGATAAGAGACAAGTGTTTTCTTACTGTTGATTCGAATAAAAAGAAACCTAGTTGTGGTTTTGTATCTCTTCACCTGGTTACAGCAACCCCAGCTCAGCTATGGTGTGTTGAAACCTAAGACCAAGGGTTGTAATGGATAGAAACATCGCACACTCACTAAACAAATAGTAAAGTTACTGTACAGTCATAAGCCACACATACAGGCTCATCTCAAACCGTAACCCCCTGCCACGTTTTCGATTTCAATGCTCAACACAAGCCCAAGCTCCGAACAGGCATCCCATCTTCTTACGTGTCCATGCTCAGCCTGCTAGCAAACAATACGACTAAGAGTCATTCTGGTTGCATCGACTTACCTGAAACACGAGATTCTTTTGTTGCACTATTTCGGAGTCCAGTAGATTGGAAACATCCGCCTTGTTGAAAATAAACACATCTGAACAGTGTTTGTCAGAAGCATATTCAAGTGGCTGTGGCGATCGGCCAGCCATGATACGACGGAACCCGTGATCCTTCAACCAGCCAGTAACTATATCTTGTCTACACATCGTAATGGAATAGAAAAAAAGCAAAATTTTACGTGATTAGACCTGCCCCTAGACCCACCGAACAGCAGTGCAGCTTCTGTTAACGCTAAGTGAAACAAGGGAAAGTATGCATTTTGGGTATCCAGGCTGAAGAACAGTATTATCAAAGCGGCTTCTTTAAACATGATACGGAAGCGCAACTTGCATGTTCCTAAATGAATTATATGCATACCAGTTTCGGAATATAACGCCACCGCTCTTCTGCATCTCTCAGAGAATAAGATAAGTGCAGAGAGCAACAATGTTTTTCACAAAGGAACGGCCGGTCGTACTTTATTAAAACTCTAATTACCTTGTCGTTGGCACCCGTTTCATTGGCTCATAGTTGATTTCGTCTTGTATTGCTCTGTGACCACTTCATTTTCCTTGTCCATTAGTGGTCATTAAACAGATCTAACCATCGTTCATTGCAATTCGGGTGAAGTGTTACTCTGTTTGGAGTGTGAGCAAATGTGTGCCTACTTCACGACGGGTCGAACCCATTAGTTATTGCTCATTTGACCCATGGAATTGTTACCAATTGCAGTACAATAGAAATGCTTCTTAAAGGAGTTTTCCTCCCTCCTCTCCTCCTCTTCCTCCCTAAGTATACTCAGTTCATGACGCATTTAAATTGCATCCTGCGTTGTGCACACGCATTTGAGTAGGTGTTGTCCTTTGTGGCCACATACAGATCAACCGATGGCATTCGGACAAGTATGCTAGCATAACTGATGAACCCACCCACGCAACTGCGGCGCAGAGGGGTCGAGATTTGGGAGGGGTTTGGCAAAAATTGGTTACACCGACGCTAGGTCCAAGCAAGGGGGGATACGCCCGCGTAGTCAGGCTCAAATGGGCGATAGTTGGACTTCGCTACCCAGACCTCAGCTTTCGGCTCGTCTATACCATTTTCCATTGAAGTTGGACATTAGGGCAAAACATTTACGCCAGAGGGTCAACGGGGTTGCTCCTCCGGGGCAATCAAGTTGAGTCTTCGCTATGCGGAATAGAACCACTTACTGGCATGGTGGGCGCTGTTTCATTGGCCAAGCGCCTGAGGTCCTATTTGCTGAAGGCGTTTGGCCAATGAAACAGCCCCTACCATGCCAGTGAGAGGTTCTATCCGCATAGCGAAGACTCAACTTGATTGCCCCGGAGGAGCGACCCAGTTGACCCCCAGGAGTAAATGTTTTGCCCGAAGGTCCAACTTCAATGGAAAATGGTATAGATGCGCAATGTGTTCGCGCTCGTTAACATTGGACTATGAGATGAGTGGGAGCAGGTGTTGGTTTACGAACTGGCTTGGGAGGTAGAGGTAAGCACAGTTCCGGAGTCAAGACGAAGATAAACGCGGCACTGAACATGCCCAGAAAACGGGACCCACACTGAATTGAGTGGGGGAGGCGAGCAACCTTTTTGCACATGAAGTCAAATTCTGATTGAGATGGACAGGGTAACTGACTTACGGAATGATGTGTTCACCAACTTAAGGCTGGATAATGCGTCTGATAGGTGCTTGATATGGTATGTTAGACCGTCACCCCTTTTACTTTTCTCCTCATCCTGCTACTGGGTCCACACCGAAACAGATAACACATGTGGACTATTTCATTAACAAAGGATTAGATTAAGCTAAGCTGGTCTTGTTGAAATAGTGGCGGTGGTAGCTGGGGGAGCACCATTCGCCAGAAGAAATAGGCTGTGTAGATTGCCGGTAACTGGATGCATGTTCATCGACGTAATGGCGGAGAAGTGGAGCAACAGATCGGATTTATAGTATGGCAATGAGGCTACTTTTAGATGGACGGCTTCTGTGCGTTTGAGTCTGAATTGTGTGGTATTCTGTTTTTCTGCGCGAGTCACTTTATCCAGCCCGATTCGCTGGTGCCAACACGCATTGGTTTCCAGACGGCAAATTTAATTCGGTTTGAGCTTCACTAGGACCCCAACGTTAGCTAAAAACAGAGCTCCATTACGTTGGCGCTTGGTCAGCCTTAATGACAACTGGTTTAAATCCCACATTGCTTACTGACACACCATTTACTATTATTCATTTAAAAAGTGCTTCTCATCAGCGTCACTATGTGCATCAATGTTAAGCCAATGATCCAGCTTAGGCGTGAGCGCTTTGGTTTTCAGTTCACTCTGGTAGAGTTTAGAGTAACGAGCTAGAGAGACGTTCTTAGAACTGTATGACGTACCTGCCCAAAGGTGTATGATCGTAATTAATGACCGTGGATTTGAGTTCCGTAGATGATGAAATGACCGGTCCCCTACGAATACTTACGTTTGCATCGAATCGACTGTAGGATTTAGACGCTAAGGACATCCATGCTCCTCAGACTTCTTTTAGAGTAGTGCAACACTACAGGCAATCTATCTTAGTGTACAGGACTTGTAGTGAACACGAAAACACGTTCTTCCAGTATTTCATAACAATAGTTTTTATTGTTGTTTGTATCTTTTCAAGACCTATTTGTTTTACGGCCTATAAATCCACCATCACTTTTGCTCTTGTGAGTTTTGCGCCGCACGTTCCTCGCCCTTGTTGATTCGCTTTCCATTCCATGTACTTACCGACTATAGTGTCTGAAGCGCACCCAACAGCAGGTGACCCCGGCTCGAAACACGCTGTCCGCCATTTTGAGTTTTCATCTTGTTGAGCTCATTCCAGTTACTGTGATTCATTACGTTTATTATTTTGTTTTCTCACCTACCGCATACTTTTGTTCACTTCTTGCAATGACGAATCTAGTGGATAAACCATCTCCTTCCATGACTATTGCCGTAGCGTTAGCCTCTTCACCCTTTTGGAGAATAATCCTTTCTTATGGCTTGTGTACCTAGAACCTAATTTTTGCATTCGCATGATTGTTTCTGATTGCGGTGTGTGTAATCAGCTTATATCTCGGCTTCCTCAGGGTATATTCTCACAGGTCAGGGAAATAATATCTTGTCTACGTATTCTAATGTAACACGATGCGCTTAAACAGGCTACTATTCAGCGAATAACGCCTTCTGACAAGCAATTAGTTAGGGATCGGTGGCTAGGAGAAAAGATGCGCTATTACCCGGAATGCATTAACACATTGACACATCCAATGTAGATCTAACGTCTCCCTGGAAGCACTTGGACTAACCAGCAGTGGCAAATGGCCTACCATTTTCAATAGTTGTAAACGTAGCGGACTGCGTCATTGAACTGCATTAGTCAGTGACTGAACCCAGAGCAAATACGCAGCTTACCACCGGCACAACCTTAAGGACGCCGACGATTAGTGAATCGTAGGCAATGGATACCTTATGACCGCAAATAGCGTCACTTCAGCGCTAAGTCCAGACCGTAAGGACGTCAACCGCTCTAGATCATTGCCCTGTTGCACGAAACTTGACGCTCCAGGTTACTGCGTTTACCCCTGGACTTTCGGTAATAAAGCGCGTAAGCGCAAGTAGCCTTGTAGATTCTCCGCTGTAGGTGACCTCCCACGCTGGCCCGTATTAACAACTGATCATGTAGACAAAACTCAGCGCCGTCTCATATCCATTGGGGGTTATGATTCCGGGCCCCGGGTGAGCCGACTGTTAATTTTGTCGACAAGCACTCCAATAGTCACCTGCGGCCATCGGTCGCTTACGTTGAACCCAGGTCTTCGGCGCAGGTTCTGCTGGGTATTCCCATTTGCCATCACCAGGATTGACTTCTTCAGACATTTCGACCTCAGTAGACGCGAAACGCCAGATGATATTTAATCCTGCAACGAAGCTCAATGTATGTGCCAGCAGCACCGACATAGCATCCATCACCCCGGTCTACGCCATACCCCAGACTTCACCAAACTGCGCCAACCTCGTACCACAGTAATCTAGGCTCATTAAGCGAATGAACACGACCTGATCATACCATCTCAAGTCACGCAACACGTTCAGACGAATAGTCCACCCGTCTCATCCAGTCCGCTCCGAATTTCATCGGAGAAACAAGGCAGTTAGGGTGGAGTTTGGACACATGCTCAAACTCGAGATAATAAGCCGTTCAGACAGTGCTTGGTCCTGGTGATTGGCGTCCTTATGGGGACTACTGTGAAATCAACAAATTCACAGTCCTTGGTAGGTACGCATCCCACGTATGCAGGACCTCAGTGCATGCCTCACAGGTGAGAAGACCTTCAGTAAGATCGATCTGGTTCGAGCATATCACCAGATACCAGTAAATAAATAAATAGATAAATTGTATATTCCCCGACGATGCGAGAAGCTGTTCCCTAAAAGGAACAGATCAAATAATGGCACAACCTTCCCAGGACATTTCATTATTGCATTTCCAGAAATAAATATGGGCGCAATTACAAATTAGGTAAAACAGAGTAAACAGAATCGTTCTGCTATTTTTTTCCTACCACTGGATCAGGATTCTTCACAATCACGTGACAGATGTTTGGGCCGCGAGAAAAATGTAATGAAAGTGGCTGTTGTTCGGAATGTTATGTGTATGTGTCTCGGAAATTTATTCAGGCACCATGGATACCGTTTCCGAATGCGTTATATAGGGACTATGATGTCCCGAACATCTTAATCACGTTTTGGACGGTTAAATGCTTACTAATCGCAAGCTTACAATTGCAAAGTGTATATCATGTCCTGAGATCACTTGGAAGCTTGTTCCAAATCTTTGAGTATTGGGTTAGAAAGAAACTCTCTCTGATTCTCGTAGTAAATTTTGGAATTATACCCTTTACCTCTTTGTTACGTATTGGATATCTGCTGTTTAAAGATAGGTGAACACCGTTTTCAAGACTGCGATTTTGACAATTAATGATTCTATACAGAAAACGTAGGTTCAGCTTCATTATCCAAGTTTATCGCATCGCTCTCTGTATGTCAACTTTGAGGAATACCCACATAGCTTTTCCTGAAGCGTCTCTGGACCCTCTCAATCGCATGGTGGTCAGAGTACCGCAGATTAGACTGTAC